AGAGAGACAGAAAGCGAGAAATCACCCCCCAAGGGAGATGGTCACACCACAATCCCTTCTCCTCCATTCTCCTCTCGGGATCTTGGGCACGCATGCACATGCACCTGGCGTGAGTTTAAGCCACCGGGTCTGGGACGTGAACCACAGTCGACTACATGGGAGTCCAGCAAAGTAGCCATTATGCCATCTGCTGGTCCTTTAACTGCAGTATTTTTAAAATGCCTTTTGAACAAGAGACCCTGAATTTTCTTTTCTTTTTTAAAAATTTGCCAGAGGACATAGGTGCTTGCTGGAGAGACAGAGTGAGAAAGTGCTCTCAGGGGACGGCCACGCCACAACCCCTCCTTCTCCATTCCTCCCTCCTTTTGGGATTTCGGGCAGTCATTTACACGCTCCAGGGGTATTTTTCAAGCCATCAGGTCTGGAACTCAGGGTGCAGTCGGCCATGTGGGATCCAACCAGCACCAAGCCAGGGGCTGTCAAAGGTCCTGCATTTTCTTTCTCTTTTTCAAATAATTATTTTATTTTATTTAACTTTATTTATTCATTCATCTATTTTAATTTGACCAGAGAGAGACAGAGAGAGAGAGAGTGAAAGAGAGAAAGTGAGAAAGCAAGCCACCAGGTCCAGGACTTGAACCATTATCAGCCACGTAGGAGTCCAGTGCCCTTAACCACCACGCCACCAGTCGACCTGAGACCCTGCATTTTCATTTTGCATTAGGCCCTGCAAATTATGTAGCAGTCTTGATTCTCAACACTAGCGTTCCTTGCTCTCACACCTCGCCCCCTCTTTTACCCAGTTCGTTTGCCAACGCACTCCTCCTGCAAAGGTTTCTTGTCTCCTTCCACCTTCCATCGTCATGGGGACAATGGGCAGCAGTCACTGACCGCCATCTCACCAGTGGTCTATTGAGAGCATGTGCCAGTTTTGTCACCCACCCTTCAGTGGCTTCTGTCACATAGAACGGGCAGTTCCCTCAGGGAGGCCTCCAAGACTGCGCTATGGGACTGTGAGGACCTCAGGACTCCCCTTTCTCCTCTCTGGGCTACCTCCACGCCTGCCTTCCACGACTCTCAAGCTCTTCCCCAGCCAGGGACCTCCCATTCCAGTTCTCCTCTCTAGAATAACTCGCCTGCCCCCTTACAGCTAACCCCCTGCTCATCCCAGAATGCTCAGAAGGCTGTCCCTGAGCCCCTTGTGTGGATCACCTCCCGACATGCTCTCCAGCCCCGCCCCAGCACTTTCCATAAATGTTTTCGCTTTCATGTTAAGTTAGCGTCAGTCTCCCCGCTGGCTGTCCATCTCTGGGGGCAATGCCTGTATCCACCTTGTTCGACACCCGGTAAGTGGCTTCACCAGCCAGGAAGCCTGGGGCCGTGGTCCGGGCCGCCTACATCCTAGTGGTCTGTTTTCTTTTCATTTATGGGGGGTGGGGGGGGTGGAGGAGAAAGGACTGCTATGTGGCCATTCCCCAGGAGGAGGTGATCCCTCACTTTCCTTCCCTCTGTCTCTCTCCACTGAGTGCACGCGCCCTATGGTGCCCTTCAAAACAAAATAGAACCTGGCCCAGGTCGGCGGGGAGAGAGGAGATGGGCCGTCCCAAGCCGCACTTGCGAAGAACAGACACGGTGACACACTGGCAGTTCCCTGGTGGGTTCGGAGTCTTCACTTTATTACTATGTCACCAGAAGTCACCACCTTCACTTGGTTCACCACAAATGGATGGATGTCATAGAGGAGGAGCCACGGGGCCACTGATTCACTCTGGAGACTTACCCAGGTGGTGGGGGGGCCTAGAGCGGAGGCCCAGGGTGGGGACCGCCCTTCACCGCACACGCACACGCACACACACAGATGTATTCGTGGAGCCTTATATTATACATCTTATATATAGAAAATATATATATTTATACTATACACAGGCAGTAACGCTGCAGGAGGGGCCGGGCACCCAGACAAGGACACCAGGACGGGAGTGTCAGGTGACGGCTGTGCTGGGAGACGGCCGGACAGTCCACCCTCCCTTACCCTCGAGTGGGGTGTTCCCCACTTCATACTCCTTAGAGAATCAAGGGGGTTTGGGGCCAAAGACGGGGGTCCCCTGGGGTAACGAGTGGGGACCCTTGTTTACATGAGGAAAGCCAGGGAACTCCGAGAATCTTTAAAGATCAAGGATCACCATGGACGGAGAAGTGGGGCACCCAGGCCAGCTCTCTGGGAATTAGCCTGTCAGCTGTTACGCCCCCAGGTGGACCAGGAGCCCTCCGGCAGGACGATTTGTGATTTTGCAGGACACAAGTCCACTCAAAGGGCAGGAGTGGCCTCGAACCTCTCGCCCTGCGCTGTACCTTGGACAAGTCACTGTCTTCCTGCCCCAGCCTCCATCTCCAAGGGCCCTCGCAGCTCTACCCTTGTGTTGAACCCGTCTCCTGGGCCCTCTTGTGCTTGATCAGGCTGCAGCGGGGCCCTTCTCCGAGGAAAGGTTTGGGAGCAAGGGCGGACAGAGAGGGGGGACATGGGGGACGTTGCCACCCTATGAACGTGGGCAGCCTGGGGCCTTCCCCATCCACCTCCCAGCAGCGAAGGCCTCATCCAAACCCCACCCTGGACATCGCTCGCTCTGTCTCTCATCTCCACGGCCAGCCCCTGGCAGTGTCTCTGTCTCTAGGCCCGACCCTGGGAAGAGTGAGGGCGATGATTCAGCACCCCTCTCTTGGCAAGGGTCTTACCGACATTCCCAGCCGGGGGTGGCGGGGAGGGATAATGGACCCTGGGGATGAGGTGATGCTTAGCTTGCGCCCACCCTCCCTGAACCGGGCATCACCAGCAGCTGGCTCGTACCCAGGGAGGTACAGCTGGGTCGCACCCTGGGTCTCCCGGTGCCCATCAGCAGAGGAGGCTTTGGGAGGGGAGTGGGCAAGGGCAAGACTTCTCACGGCCTCCTGTGGCAGGCACAGGCTGTCACCCCGCCAGAAACACTCCCCCCACCACACCCCCGCCTCTACTGGTGCCGAACCCTCTGCTCAGGCCAGCAGGTAAGCTGCCCCTCTGCTGTCCCCACTCAGGCCGCCTGGAGGAACGCCTCCCAGGATGCCTCCCCCAGACATGGGAAATGGGAATCTGAAGAACCAGTTGTCACTCTGCTGTCCGCAGTCCTCTCCGGTCACAGCTGCCCCTGGGGGGACTTGAACAGGCCTGGGTGCAGATCAGCGCTCCACCATTCACTCAGTCACACGCTCGCTGAGCCTCAGTTTTCCCTTCTGTGAAATGGGGACAAAGGTGCTTTGTCTAGAAAGTTCCTCCCTCAGGGGAGCGTCAGGTGCACCGTGCACTAAGTGCTGGGCTGGCCGAACACGCCACGGGGACGCCCCACTGGGCACTGGTCCCACCACCCGTCTGCTCTTCCTCCAGATGCACTGCAAGCTGCGAGGGTGGGGCTGCGCCCCCCCCCCATACACCTCCTGCACGGGCGCCCGCCCACTGTCCGCTGGAGAAACACAAGTGACCACTGGCCTCTCAGGAGTCTGGTTTGGGGGACACGGGTGACGGTGGGGGAGGCACCCAGCAAGGTGCCAACCCGCGTCCTCTGCTCTGCTCCCCAGGGGCTGGCTGGTGGACACGGCACTGACAGGAAGATGGCCCAGCTCTCCCCCGCCATTCCTTGTCCCTTCAGGCTCAGCAAAGAGCCCACTGTGCAAGACTCCCTCCCTGCCCCTGTTCAGAAGGGGTCACCGCCCTTCAGTCCCCACAGCCCTCTCTATGCCTTTGGGGTCACCTCCACCTCCTCCTCCAGCCTGAGGTCGCCCTGGAGTCTCCATGCACCAGGGTCACCTGCATTATCTCGGAGGCAATGTGTCCCCAGCCCGTAGCTCACACTCCGATTCTGCCGATCCCAAGGCTTGTCCTCTCTCCTCTGTCACACAGAGGCCCGCTCCTCGGTGGGCCTTCTAGGCCAGGGAAGCACACCCCACACCCTTGGCTGCTCCGGCCCCAAATCCCTGGCTGCCCCCAGATACAGGAAGGGATGACACAGTGCCCAAGATCAGTTCTGTTTCCTGCAATGTCACAAGGGCAGGGACTCGGGGCTCCTGCTGGGTGGCTGGGTCCAAGACACCTGGGCAGCAAACCCCAGCTCTGCCATCCCTCCCTGGGAACTGAGACCACCTCGACCACCCGTGGGCCTCCTCTCTATCCAGTCATGGCAAGGACTTAGTGAGCCCTCCCGGAGGGAAAGACCGCACTCAATCCTCCAGGAGGCCATGGAGGGCATTGCTGGAGCTCCCTGGACCAAGCTCCTGGGGCACACACACAACACTCCGAGGCACTGTCGGAGGCCAGGGGAACAGCTGGGGCAGAACAGACCCTCGGCTTGCAGCAGTCAGGGCGTCTCACAGGGCTCTGGTCCCTGAGGCCTCCCAGAATGACAGAAGTACTGAGCACACAGCCAGGCTGGGGGTGGGGAGGCAGGACAGGGAAGGGCCTGCACTTTGCAGCTGGAAGGCCTGGGCTCAGCTCCACCTGCACCGCCAGCTGCCCAAGCAACCCTAACCTCTCCAGGCCTCAGCTCCTGATGCTCCTAGCAAGAAGTCAAGAGGGCCCGTGCCCTGCGGTGCTCACAGGTGTCCTGGGACTGAGCCATCAAGCAACTTCCCAGTGCCTCCCCACTTGTCTTCCCCTCCATACCCTTCTCTGGTCCCACAGGGTCTCGTCCACATCCCATCGCTACCTCTCCAGGGACCATCTCTGCCCCTCGCACCACCTGTGTGGAGCCAGGCCTGACACTCAGCAGGTGCTCAATGAATACTTGATAAACGGATACACACGCCCCAGTCCCACCCTCCAGGCCCCTGCCAGGCACACGCCCTTGTACACACTTGCACACACATGGAGACGCACCCCAACACCTGGCTGCGGTGCCCCCAAGCCCCCGTCCCCAGCTACCCTGGACCTCCGTGGGACAACTCAGAGGCTGGTGAGGTGCTGTGCAGGGCAGCCTGGGAGTGAGTGGGGGACGAGGTGCGGGGGCTTGGGCTGGGGGTGCAGGGGGCCAGGGGCAGGCGGGAGCAGGCGGTCACTGTGGCTCAGTAGCCCTGCGACTGATAGCCCTGAGGCTCGGCGTCGAAGGCGCTGGCCGGCTGCTGGTAGGTGCCGCCCATGCCGGCGGGGTCCGGCCCTGCACTGGGCTCCACGTAGGGGGCGTAAGGCATGCTGGAGTCCTGGCTGGGGTCCATGTAGTCCTGGGAGAAGAGGGCCGAGTCGGCGCCAATCTGGTACCGCTGGAAGGCCAGCACGGCCTGGCCCGCCTGCGGACGGGGCCGGCAGACAAAGACAGCAGGAGGGGATGGTTAGGGGAGAGACAGACAAGAGCACTGGGTTAGAGGTGGTTAGTTCACAGGACACAGGCAGTAGAGGGTTAAAGATTCTAAAAGCACCAAAGACACACCAAGCCTGACTGAGGGGAGGAAGCCTGTCCTGGCCACCCTGCGAAGCCCAGGCCAGAACCTCAGGAGTCACCGACCCGTGTCTCCCAGTCCCGGAAGTCACTGGGCCACCAGAGTTCTAGTCCTCTGCTGTGAAGAGTTAAAATGGCCTAAAGAGACCAGCCCATGGATGGTGGTTAGGGCAGCTGGATCCTACATGGCCAGCCGCACGGTTCAAATCCTGGATCCAGCAGCCTGAGAAACACGCTGGGTGTGTGTGCATGTCTCAAATCCTGACATGAGGGGAAAATGGGAGAGAAGGAATTGTGGTGGGAACATTCCCCACGGAAGGATATGCTTTCTTGTACCCTTTGGCAAAATTTAGGGGGAAAAAGGTGTCCTAAAGGCCAACAGCCTCCTCTTCAAACTGTGATCTCAGGAGTGTTACATGGGATGGGAAAAATATCTTAGTGGGATGGAGAACTGGCATGACTAAAAGTAATTTCCTGTCTTATTGGTAGCTATGCATGTAGCTAAGTTTCAGTCAATGGGGTAACCCCGTGCTTTGTCCCACCCTCTGACCTAATGCCTGGAATGCAAATGTGATGGCTGGAGCTCTAGTTGCCAAAAGTGACCATGAGGAACTATGAGCAAATTGTAGGGACGGAAGAGGCCACAGGAGACCACGGGAGCCGCTGTGCCAGCTCTGCACCACCTCCCCAGCCTGGGACTTTGAACCACTCTCATTTCAGGTCTCCCGCACTTGGGGCTGAACTTAATTCTAACATACACTTGCTCAAATGGGTCTGGAAAACTGAGTTCAACAGAGTGAGACAAGCGACACCGACCCGTCAGGGCCTTGGTATGCTGGACACCCTGAGGGGACACCATGGCAAGCAACATGTGCCAACCCTATCTGACCACGGAAGCCCTTTCTTCACAGAACCCAGTCTGGGAGAGACTGTTAGAGCACACAGGCTGTAAGGGAATTCTTTTCAAAAGTGATTATGTTGTTATTAAGGACCAGCATTTGCCATAATGGCTATGTCGCTGGACTCCCATGTAGTCGATCTTGGTTCGAGTCCCAGACCCAGTGGCTTAAATTCACACCAGGCGCGTGTGTGTGCATGCCCAAGATCCTAAGAGGAGAACAGAGAAGGGATTGCGGTGTGGACATCCTCCCTGAGGGGTGATTTCTCACTTTCTGTCTCTCTCTGTCTTTCTGGTGAGCACATGTGCCCTATAGCAAAAAAAATCTCTTAAAAAAAAAAGGACAATGTGGGGCTGGCAGGTGGCATGGCAGTAAGATGCTAGACTCCCATAGAGCCGGCCATGGTTCGAGTCCCGGACTTAGTGGCTTGCTCTCTCACTTACTGACTCTCTTTCTCTCGTGGTCAAATTAAAAATAAATGAATAAATAACGTTAAAAAAAAAAAAAAAAAGGACAAAGACATCGACCACATCAAGCTAAGGTGTCACTTAAACCTGCTGTCAAAATAACAGCTTAGAGAGGCCAATAAGTGGTGGAGTGGTTAAGGCACTGGACTCCCACATAGTCTACTGCAGTTGGAGTCCCAGACCCAGTGGCTCGAAACTCACACTGGGTGCGTGTGTGTGCATGCCCCAAATCCCAAAAGAATAAAGGGATTGTGGTGTGGCCATCCCCCAGAGTGGTGGTGGTGGTGGTGGTTTCTCACTTTCTCTTTCTCTGTTACTGTCTCTCCATGAGCACACATGCCCTAGAGCCAAAATCTCTATAAATAAATAACAGTTTAGAGGACTGTGGTGTGGGTCGGCAGGTGGTGTAGTGGCTAAAGGTGCTGGACTCCATGTGGCTGACCACGGTTCAAGTCCCGGACCTGGTGGTTTGCTTTCTCGCTATCTCCCTATCTCTCTGTGTCTCACTCTGGTCAAATTAACAAACAAACAAATAAAAAAAACACAACAATAATGATAAATAAAATAAAAGAAATAATTATTTTTAAAAAATGAAAAGGAGGACTGGATGAAAATGTTCTCCAGAACCTTCCCAGCCCACAGGCTCTGCCCGTGATGGGAAAACGTTAATGCTCTCTGTACACCCTGGTTTAGGGCTGGGACTGAGGCCTAGAGAAGATGTCCATGGCAGATCGTACCAGACCCCTTCCCTAAACTAGGGGCCCTGCCCCTTCTCGGGCTAGGGTCCCCTTCACCTCCTTCCTTTTAATCAGCCCCGACAAGGAACAAAGTCAACCAGGAACCCGAAAAGGGCCACCTGGTGAAGACAGAGGGCATGAGGTATGCTTGGTGTTTTAGTCCAGAAAATTCCAGAAGCCCAAAAGGAGATGTTAACGTGGTTTTTTTTAGAGAATTATTTATTTATTTATTTAATTCCGTTTGTTATTATTATTATTTTTTATTTTTGCTTTTGTTTTTTATTTTAATTTGATGGGTGGGGGGAGGGTGATGAAAGGAAGCTGCCAGATCTGGGACTCGAACTGGGGTTGGTCATGTGGGAATCCAGCACCTCCAACCACCATGCCACCTGCTGGCCCCTGGAGATGTTAACTTTGGACCTGTGCTCCCTGAGGAAAACTCTGAAGGACAGCTCCTTGGGAAGTGGCTGTTTAAAACAAAGTGCTGGCCTGGGCAAACCAGGCCAGGCCTAGAGAAGCTGGGCTGAAAAGGGGGGAGGTTTCCACCATGTTGTGGCTGCTGGGGGCTCAGATGCTGGAGCCCAAGAAGCAGGGGAGGTGAAAAGCTCTCTGGGGCACCGCTGAGCTGCCGGCCAGCCCACACGAGCACTCTGGGAAGGAATGGATGGATTCCTGACAACAGGAACAAGTCTGTAGACTTCTCCCAGAGCTCCCTGCGCCACCGCCCGGGCTGGTTTTCTGAACGGAGGCGGAAGGCTGGAACAGAGGACCTCTGTGAACCCTTCCAGGGAGAGGCACCGAATACTGCCTCCGTGGTCAGCCCTCCACTGAGTCGAGGCTGCTGCTGGCCAGCCAGGAGCAAGGAAGGGTCTGGGCCCCCGCTGGACTGGGCTGCTGAGGGAAGGCTGGGAGTTCTGCTCCGAGCCTGGGAGCTGGGCATCCACCTGGCCCCACTTCCTCAGAGCAGAGATGCACTCTGTGGTACTCCCACTGCGTGGCAAGCAGTTGCTCATGTATGCTCTAGTGCCTGGGAGCTCGCTCTGTGTGCTCAGGCCCCACCAGGAGGGAGGTGTCTGTTCATACTCTGCAGCCTCCCCAACACTGCAGTGTGGACGAGAGGAGAGGTGGGACCTACCCAGGCAGCTGAGGGCCCCAGGAGGGAACCTGTGCAGAGCTAGAGGCCAAACAGGGCCAGCAGGTGGTGTAGCAGTTAAGGTGCTGGATTCCCACGTGGTTGATCATGGTTCACGTCCTAGACCTGGAGGCTTGCAAATCACTCTGGGCATGTGTGCTTGTGTGTCCAAAATGCCAGGAGAATGGAGGAAAAGGATTGTGGCTTGATATTCTCCCTCAGGGTGATTTCTCACTTCCCCTCTTACTCTCTCTCCAGCAAGTACACGTACCCTAAAAACTCTTAGAATATAAAGAACGAGAGGCCGAATGAGGATTGAGCATATGAACATCGCCCCAAAGCAGAGACTGGCGGAGCCCCTGACTCCCTGGAGGGATGACCGAACGAACGAACAAGTGAATTAACGAAAGCGCTCACATTTATTGAGCATCCCTGTGCCAGACCCTGTGCCGGCCTCTGTTTCCTCCACACAACAGCCGTAAGAGATTAGTCCAGTATCTCCCCTTAGTCCAGGGAAGAGGACTGAGGCTCAGAGGGGCGTAGGGCTTTGCTCAGGGTCAGCATGTGACAGCAGAGCTGGGCCAGGCCCCTCTTGGCAGCCTGCCTCCATGGGTTTGGTGAGACCATCCTTCACAGCACAGCTAAGGCACAGGTGGCCATACCACGGCCACAACTCAGCCCCTGGGCCCTGGACATTCCTGGCAGCCTGCCCAGGGAGCCGCCGCCAGCCCTCACACAGCTGTAGCAGGCCTCTTGGGGAGACTGGATGGGTTTGTCTCCCTTCCCCAGCCTGTGGCTCCTGGGGCCAAGGACCCCATCCGATTCATCACTAGGCACAAAACAGCTGCTCAATAAATGTTTACTGAATGAATGAACACAGAGGAAAAACTGAGGCAGCGAGTGAATGAGTAAGTGGCACATCTTAACCGGCACCTCCAGCCAGCCCCTGCCCCTGTGCCCTGGCGTTCTGGACGGTTCTGCACTAGGGTGCTCCTGCAGCCTCACCACCAGAGGTGACATAGGGCTCCCGGGCTCTGAGCAGGGGAGGCCTACGGCTCTGCCGAGGTGGGAAACAGAGTGCTGTACTCTTCCTGGAAGGTAAGGTCCTTGAATCTGCGCACGGCCAGGGCTGCGGTCAGGCTCTGCCAGGAGAGAGCAGGGTGAGGCCCAGGGAGGAGCTGAGAATCACAGATGTACCAGCAGGAAGGCTGGACTCTGTGGGCGGGGTGGGACCTGTCAGTCAGATACATCAGACCCTCCCCTACAAGCTCTGATGGCCAATCATCTGCTAGTCTTCCTCTGTGAGCCCTGTTCCCATCTCAGGGCTTACTGCTTCCAAATTCCTGTCTGCAGGCTGAGTGCTCCCCACTCCTGGGGCACCTCTTCTGGACTGCGATCCCCTGAGGTCACCTGGTTCTTCCTGCCCAGTCCTGAAGACACAAGGCTGCAGTGACCATGGGGGCCCACAAGGACCTGAACCACAGGTCTCCCCTTCCAAAATTTGGCTTCCTGAATTGTATAGGGGGTGTCCCCGAACCAACTGGGCCCTCAGAAAGAGAAAGGTCACCCCAGTACAGGCCCAGAGGGTGGGACAGTGAAGCTGGCTGCCTTACAGAGGGTGAGTGTCCCCTTGCAGGAGGCTGGGCTGAGGGCTCACAGAGAGAGTCACTGGATGGGGACCAGCAGCAGATGGGACCCTAGATCTTTGCAGGAGAGACCTGAAGAGATGAGAGATGACCCAGACAGCATGTCTCTCTCACAGGCCTGGCCCCGCACTCCAAGGCTCCTTCTTAGCCCTGGGAAAGCCCCATCTCCCCACTGAGGCCTCCACTTTCTCGTTGGTAAAAGGGGATAAAAGGGTGGGGGGAAGGAGGGCCTGTGACCCCCAAGAAGGTTGCTCTGCAGAAGCCCGAGAGCCTGCCGAGAGACTGCCTAACGGAAAGCCAGCCCCGGCCTCTCTGTTCAGGGACGCAACACCACTGTGAGTGCTGCGGGTGTACAAACAGGGACGAGGGCGAGCAGGTGCCGCAGGACCCAGGGCCAGCCGGGGCTGTGTGCAAGGCTACCAGCCCAGAGGCCTGCTGGGGGGCGCGCGGGGGCCGGGTGGGCGCCGTACTCACCCAAGTGAAGATGGAGAAGAAGGAGAAGGCGATGGCGGCCCGGGCCGCGTCTGTCCCTTCGTTCAGCGGGTTGTCCTTGGGCTTGGAGACCTGCCACTGGTTGGCCAGGAAGCAGAAGCCAACAAACCAGAGGAAGGCCCAGAAGGCTGGCAGTCCCCAGGACCAGGCAGAGCGGGCAGGGTGCCATGCACAGGAGGCAAGTAGGGAGAAAATGGGAAATTCACAAGAGCATGTCTCCCACACTCCCCCACCCCCAAGGGAGGCCCAACGACAGAGGCACAGCAGGAGCCACGAGAAGGGGAAGGTGGTAACAGGGACACCAGCCAGACACAGAGGGGAGAGGGGCCACGGAGAGGGTGAGGCCAAGGACGAAAGGTCAGAGAGGACCAGAACCAGACAAGGAGGGCCAGGGCATCCAGAGGGGAGGATTGAGGGAGAGACAGAGGAGGGCCATCAGCTCAGGGGGCGCTCCCATCGCCTCTGCCCTGTGCCCAGTTCAGCTTTGTCCTGGACCCAGGCCCACGGTCACCCTGAGGCCTCAGCACTACACTGAGGAGGCTCCCTTCCAGGGGACTGGGATGGGGGAGGAGGAGGTGCAGCTGGGGCAGAGGGTGAGGCTCAGCCCAAGCAGGCCTGGGCTGGACTTCGGTGTGCATGCAGCCTCAGCAGGCCCCAGGTTAGTGACGGGCCCTCTGGGAGCCAAGGTCTAACAGTCTCGTAGCAGGTGCCTTGTGGCAACCGTGTGTGCTAGAGCCTCTGCAGAGAAGCTCCGAGCTGCCCAGGGTGGAGTGTATGCGCCTGGCCTGGGCTACCTGCAGGGGACCCTGGGCTCCCTGGAAGTCCGAGAGCCGTGACTTTCATTCTAGCTCTCTAGTCTAGCAGTTGGCCTGCCTTACGCTGGGAGCCCAGGCTGGAAACAGTGAGAGGTCCGGACCCAGAGACCCAAGGCCACAGCCAACCGTGAGCCCGTGGGGCTGAAGTCGATGTGTCCTGGCCTGTGACCAAAATACCTGCCAGTTAGATTTCTAGAGCCTCGGGACAGAGGTTCAGGTGCCTCTGCCAAAGGCCATTTCTGAAGGGCAAAGCAGGTCATGGCAGCCCCCCATGATACCCCCACTGGCTATTCCGGGGCCTCAGGTCCTGTCTGGTCCCCTTCCCTGGGCCAGCCATAAGGCCTTCAGTCTGTCCCTTCACCTGCCTGCACCTCAGTTCCCTCGTCTGCATCTCCTGTGGCTGGGACTGCAGACTGCCGAGGGGACCGCTGGCAGGGCTCACCCGAGACGCCGATGTCGGACAGGACGGCCTTCTTGCGGTCCTTGACGCTGCTGATCTGCGGGAAGTACACGTCCAGGGCCAGGTAGAGCAGGCAGGTGAGGAAGGCGAGCACGCCCACAGTCACGCCGTAGCTGCAGGCGCTGGGGTTGCGGTTGTAGATGCAGAACTCCTCGCCCTCCGAGGAGCTGTTGAGGTAGCCCTCGTTCACGATGGAGCCGAACACCACGATGGAGAACAACTACGGTGGGGAGAGGAGGTGTGAAACCCAGGCAGGGCCCACCCAGGACCAGCCTGGGGACAGGGACGGGGGGCCACCAGCACCCCCTTCCCCTTGGCCTGCTACAGCCCCGTGAGAGCTGAGGCTGGTGTGAGGCAGGAAGTTTAGAGCGGAGGTTCAGAGAGGGAGGGACCTTGCTTGGGGTCACACAGCACAGGTGGGAACAGTCACTTCCATCCTCACCGCAGGCCCTGACATCAGGGCTCCCCCAGAACTGAATTGGCGCCCAGAACAAGGGGTCAGGGACAGCTGGGCTATGAACTCGCCGAGTCCCTGTCCCAGGCTGACTTTCTGGGTACCGGCACGTACCCGGCCCCATCTCACACCCCCCTTCAGTCTGCGGAGACGGGGGCTGCTCTGGTCTCTCAGACTGGTCCTCCTTTCCCTGTGGCCTGGGCTTCCAACACCCTGGCAAGGGGTCGGAATGATGAACGTAAAATACTGCAGTCACAGCCCTGCAAGTACAGGGTGGTTGCAGGACCCCGAGCATAGAGCAAGAACCGCCGCATGTGATCCGTCAGCAGCCCCCGGGTGCCCAGGCCCACGTGGAGAAGGCCGGAGCTGCTCAGGGTGAAGGGTGTGTGTCTGGGGTGGGCTGCCTGAGCTCTCCCTGGGGGAGAGAGCTTCTGACAGACAAAACACGGCGCAGAGTGACAGGACATGGCCAGCTGCAGTACCCATGCTGCTAAGACGCTGTGCCTGGGTTTGAGTCCCGGTCCCGTCTAAAGGCTGGATGCAGCGGTGCACGCCTATAATCCTAGCAACCCGGGGAGGCTGAGGCAGGAGGACCACAAGCTCAGAGCTGGCCAGGGTGAAGGCCTTATCTTAAAAAAATAAAATAAAGGCACCAGCAGATGGTGTCATGCTCATGTCGCTGGACTCCCACATGGTCAACCACGTTCGAGTTCCAGACCCGACGGTTTCAAACTCACACCAGATTGTGTGTGTGTGTGTGTGTGTGTGTGTGTGTGTGTGCGCCCAACATCTCAGTAAGAGAATGGAGAAGGGATTGTGGCATGGCCATCCCTCCCAGGGGGATGATTGCTTGTTTTCTGTCTCCCTTTCTGGCAAGCGTGTGCACCCAGTAAAAGTCGCTCTCTTTAAAAAAAAAGAAAAAAGGTGGGGCTGGCAGGTGGCATGGTGGTTAAGGCGCTGGACCCCCCTGTGGCCAACCATGGTTTAAGTCCCAAATCTGGCAGCTTGCTTTCTTACTTTCCCTCTCTCTCTCTCACGCTATCCCTCTCTGGCCAAATTAAAATATAAATAAATAAAATAATTGTAAAAGTTTTCTTCTTTAAAAGTTTGGAGACCACTGGCTTAGTGACAGGATTCTGACCCAGATGCACCACGGGGGAGGGAGAAACAGGCGCATCCATGCAGAGGGCTATTGTTTAGCCGCAAGCAGGAACGCAGCCCTCACCCGTGCCGTGATGCAGAAGAGTCTCGGAAGCAAGTGAAAGACGGGACACGTGACAGACGCCAGACACAGAAGGTCACGTGTGCCTGACTTCCTGTAGGCACTCCATCCATAACAGGCAAGACAGACGGCAGACGGAGGTGACCGAGGGCGGCGGGGCAGAGCAGGACGAGGTTAGGGCGTGTGTTACTGGGTTACAAAGTTCAGAGAGCAGACAGGGCAGGAATTGTCCAGCCTCGTGGACACACTACATGCCACTGAATCATGGCTAGAAATGGTTCACTGTATGCGAGGTGAACTTGGCCACGATTCTACAAAAGAATCCTGGGGCCAGCAGGTGGGGTAGTGGTTAGGCCACTGGACTCCCACAGGGCCGATCATGTTTCAAGTCCCTGACCTGGAGGCTTGAAAAATCACGCTGGGCACATACATACGTCTGCCCAAAATCCCGATGGGAGAATGGAAGAGAAAGGATTGTCGTGTGGCCACCCTCCTAGAGAGGTGATGTCCCTCTCTCTGTCTCTCCCCAGTGAGTGCACGCACCTTATGGCAAAAAAATCTTAAAAAGCAGGAGGATTCTGAGTCTGTGTCCTGGTTCAACTGTGGGCCTGGAAGTGGGTGGGGCAGCCGCGGGCTGTACCTCTACCAATCCTGATCCTGGGATGCCACAAACCACGCCCTGCAGCCCCATGCAGGGATCCTGGCTCCTGCCACAGGCTCTGCATCCCACAGTGGCCCCGTGAGGCAGAGAGGACAATCAGTGCCCCCGTGAGGCAGAGAGGACAACCAGTGCTGTCCCCGGAGAGGGTGAAGCTGTCGTCAGGAGCAGACCCTAAACTTGAATCTGGCCTCCTCATTCTTCGCCCTGTGCTCCTTCCTACTTGACTTTCTGCCTTGGGCGAGGGCCTGAAAAAGGGGTCTGTACTTCCAGAGATCCCAGGGTGCAGGCAGAGCGGCCACCAGGGAAAGGCCTGTGGGGCAGCACTGGTGTGACAGGGGATCGGGTGAGACAGGAAGTCGGGACTAAGCAATTGTCACAGGGGCTCCCGAGCTACTGACACAATGCAGACAAGCAACGCAGATGGGGACGCAGAGGTGGAGGCAGGCTGAGCGTGCATCGATCGCCCAGCCCCAGGGACAGCCACTTGTGCATCTCCGGGACCGAGCGATGAGCCAAACCTGAGGCCCAGGCCCAGATGTCACCAGATGCCATGGAACCCGCAGAATGCAAGAGCGGGACTTCAGGCCCTGATTCAGATTCGAAGCTCATGCTGTATGGCCTCAGGCAAGTGACTTAACTTCTTTGAGCCTTGAATTAGTGCCACCTCCCCGGGGATGAGCAGATGGCATAATGGTTACGTCACTGAGCTCCCGCATGGCTCACCATGGTTCGAGTCCCAGTATCCGGCAGCTTGAAACTCACACTGGGTGCATGTGTGTATGTGCCCAAACTCTTGAGAGGAGGTGGGAGAAGGGACTATGGCGTGGCCATCCCCTCTGGGGGATAATCTCTCATTTTTCTGTCTCTCTGGTGAATGCACATGCCCTGTAACAAAAACCCTCAAAAAATAAAAAAATTAAAATAAATAAAAACTGGAACCAGGAGTTAGCATAAAGGCTATGTTACTGAGTTCCCATGTAACCGACCGCAGTTCGAGTCCCGGACCCAGTGGCTTAAACTCACGCCGGGTGCACGTGTGTGTGCGCGCCCAAGATCCTGAGAGGAGAATGGAGGAGAAGGGATTGTGGTGTGGCCATCCCCCTGGGGGGTGATTTCTCATTTTCTGTCTCTCTGTCTTTCTGGTGAGCACACGCGCCCTACAGCAAAAACCTCTCAAAAAAAAAAAAAATTAAAAAATAAATAAATAAAAAGTAACCCCTCTTCTGGGGCTGTTTGGAGAATTGTGTGCAGGTCTCCGAGCAGAGCAGTGCCTCTTGGTGCCCACTTCTGCAGAATCCCTGTAAGAGTGACTAAGGCCCCTCTGAAGTCACACTTCCTACCCAGCGCTGCTCCCTGGGGACAGCCACCAGGGTGGGAACAAGAGCAGACCTCTTCCGAAAACAGGAGGAGTCAGGCCTGGGCCAGCTCTGGGACCTGGTGATTAAGGCAGCTGGATCCCACATGACCCATCACAAGGTTCAAGTACCAGACCCGGTGGCTTGAGAAACATGCTAGGTGCATGTGCCCAAAATCATGAAAGGAGGGAAAGATGGAAGAAAAGGGATTGCAGCATGACCCTTCCCCATGGGGGTGCCTTCTCCTCTCTCTGCCAAGAAAAAGAAAAAGAAAAAGAAAAAGAAAAAGAAAAAGAAAAAGAAAAAGAAAAAGAAAAAGAACACACCCTCAACAAGGAAAAGCAAGATCAGGCTCCTCGAAGGCTGGGAGGCGAGGACAGGCGGAAGTGTGGGCCGTGAGACAGCACAGGAGGAACCATTAAGACTGGTCCCTGGGGGGAGAGAGGCAGGGAGTGCTCTGGGAGGCCTAGAGCGGAGGGAAGAGCTGGAAAGAGCATTAGGCAAGAGCCCTTGGAGGACTGGGTGGGGCCTCGGCTCCAGCAGACAGGTGCCTGGGTTGGCACTCAGCACTTGTCAAGGTCTGGTCCGAGGTTTTCAGCGCCTGGTGCTGTGCTGGGAGGGACACTGTGGGCCCAGGAGGCTGATGGCGGGGGCGGGGGAAGGGACAGGAGTCCACGCCAGACAACCCAGATGTGTTCACTGTCCTTGTAACAGCCAGCAGAGTGACCTTGGGCAAGTGACTTGAGCTCTCTGAGCCTCAGTTTCCGCATCTGTCAAGTGGGGACAGCATCTGCCATGGCGTGGAGGGGACGAGGCCACGCACTCAGCGGCAGAGTGTGACGGGGAGTGAGCAGCCCCTCAGGGTGGGAGCCAAAGAAAATGACAGTGTTGGCAAGTATGGGGGGAGGGGTGGCAGGGGTCAGGGAAGAGATCTCTGAAGCCAAGCTTTGAACCGAGATGACAAGGAGACAGCCCTGCCAAGACCGGGGGAAGCGGGTCCCAGCAGAGGGACTGAAGGTGAAGAGGAGTGAAGTTGCAGGAGAGACCACATAACCAGGCTGGGGAGGAAAGTAGGGCAGGGACAGGGACGGGGACAGGGCCTGGAGGGCTGTGCTGGGGACTGGCTTTCAGTGCACTGAAGTCACCTGGCACAGGGCTGATAAGGCCCAGCTTTGTGGGGTCTTGACCTCTCGGGCCGGTCCCTGCCCTGCGGCATGAAGAGTCCCTGCAGCGGCTCCCCACTGCTGTCTGGATGCAGCCCAAGCTCCCAGGGCTCAAGGAGGGCCCTGCAGGTACTGGCCCCACGGGCCTCCACTGCCCACCACCCCCCTGCTTTCCCACCGTCCCTGCTCTAGGCCCCACGCAATGGTTAGCCTCCTCACCCCAAGTAGGAGCCGCCAAGAATGGGCCATAGGCCTCAGGCTTCCGCGCCAGGTGCTCACAGTCGAGGACGCCACTCCCTCAGGGCCTCCCACGGGCATGGAAGACACGCCTTTAGTGCCGCCACGTTGATGATCTTACTCCCATT